GATTTTCAAACTGAAAAAGAAACAGGTATGTAGCCTGACTAAACACAAATGCATGAGAGAGAGAGGCTTAAACACTGCTACAGCTCAAGAACTACTCGTTTTAAGCTCTAAGCTATTGTTCATTTTGTATAAAATGCTCAGGACAGTTTCAGTCACTAGTTTTGTGATGACAAGATTTGTTTGTTTAAATCCAAACCAAAACGGACCTTCTCACTCTCTCCCTGCACATACCAGGGTTCAGTCCCATGTCACAGGAAAGCTCACAGGTGCTCATCGCTAGCAGCAGACAGGGTTTTTGTTCAGTATTTATCAATAAGCCTTGTGGGAAATGTTGCCCCTCTGAAAGAGGCTTGTCACAACTCCCTTTCTTTGCCAATTATTCTAGCTCTTTGATGGCGATGACAAATCTGTCACGCTTGCAAGTGTACACATTTATTCCTCACTCCCGTCTACTATCTTTGTTTTCTTAAATATCTGATTGTAGAGATACTAGCATGCTGGTTGAAGGTACTTTCCATTCTGTTCTGGCCCAATGGTGAAAATGTGACAAAAGAACAACAAACTGTTATCTTACATTGTATACCGCTGTCTTTATTAAGACTGTCAATCAAAGCCTAAGTCTGCCTAGAATTTTTTTTTTCTTGATTCTTCTGCCAGGTTTTTCCTTATGCACTGCAGTTTCAGAAGGAAGGGCACAGGGCAAATTTGTTGAGAATGTATATGAATGTAATATTACACCCAGGGCTCCAAACCAAAAAATCGAGTGAGCCATTGGCTCCTATAAGAAAAAAACGTAGGCGACAAATAATTTTTTTTGGTGCCACAGAATAAACGTGTTTTACTTATTTTATTATTATTATTATTATTTTTTTTTTTTTACATTTTAACATTTCAATCATACTGTCATGTGTTTGCCTCATCTTTTCTTGACTTTATCAGCATTTTAATCCATCTTGTAGATGACCTGGGAACTAAAGTTCACTTAAAGTGGGAAATAAATGTCTTTTCCAACTTGAAATATACAGTCACAAAGAATTGTTCATGATACAGAATCTGTACCAATATCGTGGACCATAAGCATCACTTGGCCACTGAGTGTACTGTAGTTTGGGCTCCTCCTCAGTGCATCCTGTAAATGTTGTCATACACTCTTAAAAATAAAGGTGCTTCACGATGCCATAGAAGAACCTTTTTGTCTAAATGGTTTCATAAAAAACCTTTAAAATCTGAAGATCCTTTACGTTTCACAAAAGGTTCTTTGTGGCGAAAGAAGGTTCTTCAGATTATAAAAAGTTGAGAAAAAGATGGTTCTTTAAAGAACCTTTGACTGAATGCTTCTTTGGGGAACCAAAAATGGTTATGTGAAGAACCTTTTAAGCACCTTTAATTTTAAGAGTGTATGTCTTTCCCACTTTCAGTCTGTTTTTCTTAATTAGTAAAATGCAATTTTATAGGAGGAGTTGAATCATGTAGACAACAGGTTAAGTAAAAATATTAAAATGCAATAGCGCATAAATATAGCAAAATGCTCCTCTTTATAGTTATTTTTCTAGCTGACTGATGAGCTTATGGACACCGAATGGTTATTCAGAGGTAAATGTATATTACGTTGCAATGTTTACAAGCTTTACATGTTTTCTGCAGTTTGAAACACTGAATGAGCTTTTATATGAGACATTTCAGTAAGTTGTACTATAGGCTCTCTTATAAAATAGCCTACCTTTTGATATTAATTCATGTTCATTATGTACAGAGGCGGACAGTAACTAAGTACATTTACTTGAGTATTGTACTTAAGTACACTTTTTGAGTATCTGTACTTTACTTGAGTATTATTTTTTCTGGGAACTTATGACTTTAACTTCACTATATTTGAAAGACAAATATTGTACTTTTCCTGTTTTGTTGGGTTCATTATTACAGATTTCCTAATATAGTGAATTTAATTTTTCCAAACAAAATTGTTTAACATGAGAATTTATTAGTTCATCTCTCGAGTCTTCGGGTTTGAGTCGTTCATTCATCACGTGACAGCCACATAAGCCCAAACCTGAAGACTTGTCAGATAAGAGGTGAGGTGAGCTAATCATAGACTGAAGACCCAGGTAAACAATGAATTAATCTTTTCTGAGACTCAATCACTGTCCACTGTAAAATGATCCGAACTTCCCATCACTAATAGATGTGTGCACACTGTCAGAACTGTGTGAGATCAATACCATACAGCTTTTGTGGGGGAGGGTAGTGGTGTTAATTTTTTTCCCCCCATAGGTTTTTAACATTCTAAAAGCTCTTTATTCCAAAGATACTACAAGCTAGTCAGTGTATTCAGTAGGTGTAATGTATTGTAAGTTGCTTCAGAAGTATTGCAAGTATTACGTACAACAATAAAACTTTGTGCATTGACATAAAAAAGGAAATTTCCTTTTGGTACTTAAGTACTTTTAAAAGCAAGTACTTCTGTACTTAAGTAAAAATCTGTCTTTACAACTTTTACTTGTAATGGAGTAATATTTGACCAGCAGTATCTGTACTGTCTCTTAAGTAATGGAGTTGAGTTCTTTGTCCGCCTCTGATTATGTATTACAGTAGTAAAGAGAAAGATTAAATGGGTTCACTTGAACTTGAACTTGAACCGCTTGAACTGAGGCGCTAAAACGACCGTGCCTGCCGCATTAAAGAGCGGCAAAAACAAAACTGTATTTATTGTTTGAATTTCGTTATGAATTTTGAATAATAAATAACATTTCGAAAAAGTCATTTCGATCTCTCTCGCGCTGCACAACTGAGCTGCGTTTAGCAGGTGTGCACCAGAGATGAGGACTGTTTGAAACTCTTTTTTCCACTAAAACTTTGATGCGCATCGTCTCAGTTTAATACGTGAACATAACAAAAGATGTGATCTCAAAACAATCAGGAAAAAAGGCATTACATGCAAATTTGTAATTTATAATATGTAAATACATAGGCCTAGTCGCCAGTGGCGACCTCAGCAAAAACTTCACTCGCAATTTAATATTTTTGGCCGTTTTAGTCGCAGTTTGGAGCCCTGACACCCCTGCACATCACTTTGATATCTGAGAAGGTTTTATTGTGTCTGTTGTAGTCATTCAGCCCTGTGATTAGTGGTGCTTGCTGAGGCAAGTATCGCTATAATTATTGCTCATATTTAGGCATTTAACTTTGCCGCATTCCACACCATATCAGCTAAAGACAAGAATGATGCTTCAATTTGTGTGCTAAAAAAGAGATGCGTGTTATTACTTTTCTAAGCAAGAAGTTTTGCGAGTTCACTTGTAAACAATCAAAATGGGTGAAACCTTCATAATTTCATGTTCAGAAAATGTTCATTATTATTAATAGTAGTAGTAGTATTGTTTGTTTATATGCTTGTTTTAGGCTTCCAGGTTTATGGTATATTGTCATGTTTGATATCACTTAGCAACAACTAGAGGAGGAGGCAGCAAAGCCTGTAGAGCCAGAAAAGCCAGTGACGCCACCCCCTGTGGAACACAAACATCGCAGCATCGTCCAGATCATTTATGATGAGAACCGGGTATGAACACATTAATACATCGTGTTTTTCTCTCACACTCAGAAACCTAGCAGATTGTGCTCTTTATAGATCATGTTTAATTGTTGTTAAAGTGTGCTTAGACGATTCACAGTGAGCAAATGCTTTCCTGAGAGTCTTTGAACACCTCTGGGAGAAGATAATCAATGACTGAATGAACTCAGTTTTTTTTTTTATTTATTTATTTATTTTTTTTTTGCATTTTATTGTTGACAGAGTGTGATGTGACCGTCGAAGACAGTGGTCTCCAAACTGGTCCTGCAGAGTTTAGCTCTTACTTGCCTCAACACACCTGCCTGGAAGTTTTTAGTATGCCTAGTAAGACCTTGATTAGCTAGGTGTGTTTAATTAGGGTTGGAGCTAAACTCTGCAGGACGCCGGCCCTCCAGGACCGGTTTGGAGATTATTTTATTTTTGGAGTTTTGTATTTCTGCTTGTCGATTGTTGTCTGATCAGTCAAGAACTGATGCCTCATGAATGTAATTTCACTTTGTTTATTCTTTGCTCACTTTTAAAATTTAAATTGTATCTCTGTGTGTCCGTTGTGTAATCTGGACACTTAAATTTAGCAATTATGTTCATACGCCGTTTTTTTTGTTTGCTTGTTTTGGAAGAAAAGTTTACTGAGCACAGTAACAGATGAGACTTAGAAATAAAGTGGGTGAGAGAGAAAGAAGTACAGATGGAGAAAGTGAGGCAAAACTATAGCACCCATCTGGTCTGGGAGCATCACTGAAGAATCAAGAAGCAGTTGCACACACGGACAACACATATACTTGGTAGATGCTTGCAACTGTTAACAAAAACAGATTGTAACTTTTGAGTGTAAAGAATTGTGGGATTGAGTAATGGAGGCGTTTCCCAGACAGAACACTTCTGCTCAGGAAATGGTGATTTTTTTTATTTTTTTTGTCATGTTTATTTTTACTCCCTTTCACCCTGTTGGAGAAAATGTTTTCCAAACAAGTGATAAATTGTTTGTCGGCTTAAACAATTTGTGTTTCTGCTGTTAAAACATGCACAGGCTCACACTTTCTCTCTCTATCAAAGCTAGAAGTCAACAAATGAGAGCGCAGTTTGTTCGTTTAGTGTGGTGTGTCAGCAGGCAGACTATCTAACCACAAGGAAATACATCCGTCTTTTTTTTTACCAACATTCTCACTCTGTTGTGTCACAGAAAAAGGCAGAAGAAGCCCATAAGATACTGGAAGGGTTGGGGCCTAAAGTGGAGCTGGTGAGTACTGTGGGAAATTGTTTTCTGATGCAATAGATTGTATGAGTTTGTTCATCTAGCTAATCTGCAGCCATTTCCTCTGTCTCTCCACAGCCTCTGTACAACCAGCCCTCTGATACTAAAGTCTACCATGACAACATTAAGACGTGAGTGTCCGCTCTCTGTAAGCTTAACAGTAAATAATTCTAATAGTGACTTTGACAGGAAAAGTCAGAAGTGTGGGAAATGAACTGCACAGGCTAGATGATTAGTTCAGAATTTGGTCTGTGTTGACTAGATGTTGATCACGTGACATCAGTGACTTCTTTGTTTTTTTTCTAGGGAATATTGGTTATTAGCCAATATTAGAAGTGCTTTTTTTCTCCACATTTGTCATCATATGTCATTTAATTTAATCTCTAAAAACAGTACTAATTTAATTATACTTTTAATTTATTTAGACAAAATAACAAACATAAACTATTTATTGCCTTATCAGTATCAGCCAGAATTTTAATATCTTGTATACCCACATTTTCTGGGTCCCATTTAGGGCTTTCACAATATCATATTTTCACTATATGATTTTTGTGTGAAATAAATTCGCAATAAAGGTATTATAACAAAATCTATAGAAATGTCAATTAAATAAATTAAATTAAATAATGCTATCGGTAGTAGCCACACACTGCATTGTGGGTTGTCTTTTTTTTATTATTTTTTTTATGACACGTGGCAAACAGCATTAAGGTACAAGACTGTCACCTTTTATGTTTAATGCGTCAACCAGAATTATTTCTGATGTTATCATGTGTAATACTGTATTAAAACAATATGAAAATTTCATTATTTTAAATATAACCGTTATTGTCAATAATACCAGTTTATTGCAACAGCCCTAGTCCCAATATATTTGCGCGTCACTGTTTTTCTATAGTAAAATGTAACTGGCAAATAGATTTGCCATTATGTGGGGGGAAAAGTGAAACTGCCCTTTGCAAAGCATTATACAAGTTAAACACAGTGGAGACTCTGAAGATGGTCTGTGTTCCCTTGGAGTTTGAAAACAAGGCTGATGCAAACTATAAGTGAGAAGTGAACGGGACATGACTGTTTTTATCAGAAAGCAGCACGAACCTTGAAGTGCATATATGTAAGCTTTCATTTCTCACCCACAACATCTTGGCTGTCAGATACTTTCAAGCAGCCAACAGACAGGTGATGTGGCATGATGTGTGCTGAGTAATTTACACGAGGCAAACAACGACTTGCCAACTAATCCACTTGTTGATTAGGAAACATGAGTAGTCATGCAAGCCTTGCATGATGTGGGTACAATAATGGTCTCTCCTGATTTCACAGCAGCAGACAGACAAAGGCAAGTGTCTGACTGATACTTCTGTGTGTGTGTGTGTGTGTGTGTGTGTGTGTGTGTGTGTGTGTGTGGTTATCACTGATGGAAAGGTGTGTGTGGTTATCACTGATGGAAAGTCTGTCTGTGTAGGTGGCTAAAAGTAAAACTGCTGTGTGTATGTAGACAGCTCAAGGTCGGTCAGTCTGTGTGTTGCGTCCGGTCGACTCAGACAGTCTTTCATGTAGAGGAGGGGGTGTGTATGTGAGGAGGAAAATCCTCAATTATCATAAATCAGCAGAAAACAGTACAATCACAGACTACCATTTAAAATTTTTGCTCAGTAAGATTTGTTTTTTAAACAAATGAATATTATTCAGCAAGGATGCATTAAATTGATCAAAAGTGACTAAAGACATTTATAATCTTACATAGTGTTGGTCGATATGGTCATTTTTCATATCGTCATATCAGCAGCCTGTGAGATCGCCGATACACGATATTACCATGCATGGGTTGGTGGGGCAAGAGAGAGACACTCTGCACTTTTCATAGATTATTTCATAACTATTTGGTGTTTTAAACCACGCGAGCGTGAGACAGAAAGAATGGAAGTGCCAATAATCAAAATAATATACGTTCATAGCATACTGATAAACTAGCATGTTAAATATAAAAATATTTAAAACAGCTAGTTCATATATATTCGGATACAACAGTCATACATCGCTATAAGGACTTTGCGTACTGTGACAAGTTTGCTGCATCTGCGCACTGAAATTATCAGTCTAAAAGGTCTGCAAAATCAGTCAATGGTGAAAATCAAAAGTAGATTTATTTTAAAGACCAACAGTTTAACACTAAATATTGGACAAAAACGAACATGTAAAATATAAAGTATTTAAAACAGGTAAGTTCATATATTTGGAGTAAAGTTAAATTAAACGGATCTGCATGTTTTTATAATAATGATGATGAAGAATAAGCATCAATATTTTTGTTAATGTGCTGTAAAGAAAACGAAATGCTGATGACGATGCAGTTTTCGGCATGTTCATTCATACAGATGTTTGGAAAAGATGTCTCTTTTAGCACTCTAGACATAATTTGTAAATATAGGTTTATCACCTTACAGTTCAATTTTGATGTGGGCTTAGTTTTATAGTCTGTTTTTAAAACATTTCCAATGAGGACGAGAAGTGTGTTTCCAAATTCGGAAATTTGATGATAATAGCCAAATAATAATAGGCCGCCTAATAATAATAATAATAATTTATAGGGCTGGATTTTAACACAAATTTCACAATTCGATTTGATTATCCTTCCCAAGCTTGTGATTCGATTTTGATTCAATAACGATTATTTTGTGTGTATATATATATATATATATATATATGTATATATATCAGGTACAGGACATGGCAAATTTTCTCAAGGAAAAAAAAATCTGAAATAATGCTGTAAAATATACCTGAGAGTCAATAATATGGCAAATTTTATTGAAATTTGCTGATTTGTATACAAACACTTTAAATTACATAATTATATTTCTACTCCAATTCTTTTTTTTTTTAAATATAAACATTTAAATGGTGGTTGTCACAAAAACTTGAACAATTTATTCAAACATAAATTAAATATTGAAGAACAGTAAAAAAAAAAATTATAATGAATATGTTATATGGTGCATATTTAGCAAAATGCTCCTCTCTAGAGTTCATTTTTGTAGCTGAGTAATGAGTTTATGGTCACCAAATCTGTTTTTCTGTGGTAAATGTGACGTTACGTGACGTATTGTTTACAAGCTATTGTCGTCTTTCCGCATTTGAAACACTGATTGAGCGACAGGATATGGGTTTCGGTAAGTTGTACTCTTTCTTTTAACAAACCTTCGGATGTTCATTAATGTTTATTTCATGCTGTAACTGCTATTAAAGCAGAGGAGATGATCAGTTCAGCTTTGCGATGGCGCTTCTAACTGAGGCACAACAGTGATCTGTCACTCCACATTAAACGGTGGCAAAATGGCATTTAATATTTGAATATTGTAATAAAATGGACAGAATTTGAAATCTGAGACTTTGTTTCATATCAAAAGTAACAATCACAAAGCTTTTTGCAATTTATTGGATGGGAGGCACGCTACAATTCTTGGGATTTATGAATCGATATAGTTTCAGAATCGAGAATATAAGATATTTTTTGCCCAGCCCTAATAATTTAATACATTAATAGGAGAATGAACCTAATATCGTCTTGACTATCGACAAAGACATCTGCTATCGTCGATATCTCTGACTATCCTCGATACACGATTCTATCGTCTATCGGCACAACCCTAATCTTGCAAAAGTTTTTTTTATTAATAAATGTTTCATGAGCAGCAAATCAGCATATTAGAGTGATTTCTGAAGGATCATGTGACACTGAAGACTGAAGTAATGGCTGCTGAAAAATCAGCTTTGCCATCACATCAATAAATTACATTTCAAAATATGTTAAAATAAAGATGTTATTTTAAATTGTAATATTTAACAACTTTTGTGTTTTTTTTTTTGTATATTTGAATCAAATAAATGCAGCCTTGGCAATAAGAGACTTCTTTCAGAAACATTTTTTTTTTAATTACCGACCCCAAACTTTTAAACGGTAGATTTAAAAAAATAAATAAATAAAGGCTGAAATAAACTGTGTTGGGCACAGCTTACTTCAGTGATCCACCAAATGCATGAAGGAATAAAGATGTTAATGGCATTAAATTACTTTGAATGTTATAATATGATATCAAACCTGGAGTAAGAGTCATTAATATTCATTCATTTATCAGGTGCTTTTATCCAAAGCAACAAAAGCAAGTCATTCTAGGAAGACAGTAACAGGAGAAGTGCTGCAGGAATTACACAGAGAGATGCAAAAGTATAAGTCGGAGATGTCGGAGATATAGAGTTGGAGATGAGACAAAAGAAAAAGGGTAGGGAGTGTTTTTAAAGAGTAAGAAAGTAAACACACTAACAGTTTTGAGTCAAGAGCTCCTGGAAGAATTGTATCTTGAGGCATTTTTGAAAGTAGAGACTAGAAAGAGATTCAGCTCTTCTGATGGAGTTGGCAGCACTCATAAAGAGAGGCCGTGATTCACCATGCTTGTCTGTGGGCAGGTTGTATATCAGCAGAGAGATCTTGTTCAGTGTGCAGTGTTTGCTCCTTTTATGAGAGGGAATGTAAACACACTGGTTTTTATTGCTGCAGGAATCATATGATGAGGAAGAAGCTGATTCTGTTTTTCAAGAGGAGGAACCATGCACGCAAACAGCGGGTAAGTGTCTCTCTCTCTCTCTTGTGCTGTGTCAGTGAATGCATGTGTTTGAGTGCATGTTGAGTAAGTGCTCCTCCATCAGGTGTGGTGACTGAAGTTACAGAGAAACTAGAATATTTGTGGAAAAATCAAGAATGATGTAAGCACATAAATTTGCAGGTGCAAGTTTGGCTTTTGTTTACGCATAGAAATACATCTGCTTGTGTGCACTTTATGATCACGTTTAGTTTGTTAGTTAAAGGGGTCCTATTATGCTTTTTCACTTTTTTAATTTTAGTCAGTGTGTAGTGTGTATGTTTGGGCATAAAAAAGATCTAGAAAGTTACAAATCTCAAAGTCCACTCCAAAGGGAGATATTTCGTTTTTTAAAAATCCCTTTTCAAGAACTACAGCGAAACGGCTCGTTTGGACTACAGTGTTTGTTTTCCGGGCTTTGTGATATCACAAAGCGGCTCATTGGAATATCATTACAAATAATTCCCGCCTACAGAAATTCGAATGGTTGGGGGGAGGGGAGGGGCGAGGTTGTAGTTAGAACGCTTGGTTGAGTGAGTGCATCAGACGAGACGACGAAGAAGAATTGCTGCTGCAGAGTTAGTGCATCAGAGAAAACGAAGAAGAAGAGCTGCTGTGCTGTAGCTTCAAATTTTCGGCATGTCTAGAACAATTCTTACAAGTACAACACGACGTAGTTGGGCGCCGCGGACAGACGCCGAACGGTGCCACCGGTGTGCCTACACTCATAGAAAATAATGTATTTGAATTTTAAAGACGTGGCGCGACACAACGCTGCGCGACCGCCTGAAACGCTGTTTTTTCACCTCTGTTCCCAATCGTGAGGGAATCGTGAACATGGAATTTACAGTATAACACGGATGTCGCGTAAAACACGCAATCTGATGGATAGATAAATCAAAAGTATATATAATATGTGTCTGTGAATATTAAAACGCAAAGAAACTGCTATATAAATAATCTGCTTGTTTCTGCGTGTCTCTGAGTAGCTCCGTTTTATGTACTACATACTGAAGTACGCACAACGCTAAAAGTGTTTTCAGCATCTGCTTAAACATGAACATCAGCAGAGCTGCTCTGAGAGAAAACTTCAGTAAACATTTCCTAGTTTTATTTGAGAAAAAACATTGTCAAATACACTCTGAAACTCAAAGGTCCACCACAACCCGTCAAAATAAAAATTCGATTTAACTTGATATTATGACAAAAATATATTAGCATTGTACAATGGAATGTACTTTAAAGTTATAATAACAACAACAATAATAATATTCTTTATAATAAGAGAATTATTTTAAATATTGGCTTTAAGAAATATCGTGTTTGTTAGCTCTTTGCCAAAAATAAAAGTTGTTAAAGTTTCATTTGATAACATTTTACAATCCGTTAAAATGTTAAGGTTTTATGCATTAATTTGATTACCTTGGTTTTTGACAATATATTTGTATTAAACCACAAAACACAGAAAAAAAGAGGAAAAAAATCTTATGATTATGATATGATTTCATAGGTCACTGTTATTATTAAAATTTTTATAAATTATTAATAATAAATGGTGGTAAAGGTTAATGAATTCAATTGATTCATTGATTGTTTTTGGTTATTAAAATGTGAATAAACCATTAAAGGTGACATATCATGAAAATCTGACTTTTCCAGGTTTTAAGTGCTATAATCAGGTCCCCGGTCCATCTACCAACCAAGGAAACGTGAAAAAGATTAACTCGGTAACTTTGTTTTGGTAAGCCTTTTTCTGCAAGCGTCTGAGAAAACGAGCGCATCTGATTTCGCTCCCTTGGTGACGTTGCAAAGGGATCTCTTTATAATATTACCGCCCCTTAATCTGTCAGTTTCCACCCACGGCACCATCATTGTGTTTTCGGCAAGCGACAACGGTGTACCAGCTCTAATGCCATGGCGAAAGTTTGAGCAAAACATACTAACTGTTCTGCCTTTGTCTGCACAGACGAGCACAGAACACTATTTAGATCTAAAATAAACATGCGATTTATTTCCCAGCAGTTTACCTTCACAGACATAACCGACTGTTTTTGTAACTCATGTGCGTTTTCAACGTAAACTTGTGTGTGAATGAGAACTTAGTTTAGTACTCACATGCTGTGTGGTGGCCGCTTTCTGTCCGTGTGCTTCGGATGTGTGCTCTCAGAAAACCGTATATCAGAAGTTTAAACTCGTATGGTTTAAAACGCATGATTTCAGCGCGATAAACATGATAATCAGAACCATAACAGATGTTTTTAGCAGGTCCGAGCTGTAAAGGCGCAGCTCTATTCTGGAAAAGGGGGCGGGGAGCAGCTGCTCATTTGCATTTAAAGAGACCGGCCCGAAAAACAGCGTGTTTGTCTGTGGAGTATTTTGAGCTGAAACTTCACAGACAAATTCTGGGGACACCAGAGATTTATATTACATATTGTAAAAAGGGGCATAATATGTCTCCTTTAAAACAAAATACAAAAAATTAAAACGCACAGAATTTGAATAAAAATAAAACATTTTATAGGGCTCTTGTTAATAACTTTAATACCTAAAAAATGTCACTCTGTTTGCCCCATCTAAATTATATTCTGCATCCTTGTGGTCTGCTACACACTTTAATAAAGCATTTGTTCACTCAAAAAACGTGTTCTTATTCTTTTAAGGGTCATTGTTACTGATAAGAATTGTTTAATATTTGCCTTGAAACCGTGATGTTTTCTGAGACTGTTATCATACCGTAAAAATCTCATACCGTTACAAACCTTAACTACATTTGGACACAGTAAAGAAACAAGATTGAAACACTTAAACAAGATATTTTGTCATTAACATGGTTTCTTTTTGTGTGGCGTCATGCTAGGTAGACATTCTGCTACACATAACTGTATATGAAATATTACATGTCTTCTGAATGGCTGTGATTGTGTCCTGTCACAATTTCATCTTTTTGTGGACTGAAAAAAAAAAAGTATTGTCTACACTGTGTTGAGTTATTTAGGGACCTCTTATAGATCACCCATGGTTTTGAAGATTAGCCAATTCCCTCTGTGTGTCTTTCTACCTGTTCTCTCTTTCTTTGTGTTTTGTGGTTCAGGAATGTTGAATGGTGATGTTTTCTTTAACTCTGTTCTAAAAAATAATCTGCTCTAGCTGCAAGGAAGCATTATGATTGCTGTTTTTTTTAACAGGTTTGGTCTCAGGGAGGTATAGTTCAGTGCAATCGCTTGTTAGTAGACTGGGTCGGTCAAACCTGCTGGACTAAGAACAGTCAGAGTGATGACATGGCCAAAAGCCAAGAGGAAGGTTAACTGTTCAGAGAGAGGAAAAACAAGCCGTTTTTTGTTCTGTGTGAACCATAGTTCAGACACAAGCGCACTTGTCTCTCTGTGCAGGTCTTGATCGAGACTCCACTTGTTGAACCTCTTTGTTCTCGCTCCCTCTCTCTCCCTGTTTCTGGCTCACTGTATCTTCCTCTGTCTCTTTCTGTCTGTCCTGAAAATTCTGAAAATGTTGTCATTTACTCAAGTTGTATCAAACCAGTATGAGTTTCTTTCTACAGTCAATGTAGCCATTGACTTCCATAGTATTTTCTTCCATACTAAAATTGACTATTTTTCTAAGAAGTAACAAACAGATTAACTGAAAATGTAGGACATCATTTAAATAGTTATTCTTGTCCCAGCAGTAAAATTTATGTTTTAGTCAGTATTATTTATGGTTATTTTTTGCTTTTGGATTGATTTACCAACATTAAGTGAATATAATTTTTGTTAGTTTATTTGGATATTTCCTCAGAATCACTGTCAAATGCCAATTTTGTTTTATTTTGCTAAACTGTTTTCCGTTGATTCCTCAGGAACAGAAAATTTGCCAGCGGTATGATGAGCTGATGATGGAGTGGGAGAAAAAGTTTGAGCGAATGGAAAACAACCCACGCCGTAAAGCCAAGGAGAGCCGCACACGTGAATACTATGAGAGGCAGTTTCCTGAGATCCGCAAACAGCGTGAGCAACAGGAACGATTCCAGAGGTCAGTCAGGCCCCCCAGTTTCCATGATGACCCAATGAACGCTCTGTCATACACACACATTTAAAAGTATTGCTTTTCCCTGACGTAGTTGTGATGTAACATCTTGTGTAAACACTTGAGGCGCTGTGTTCTGTCCTGACTCAGCAGTTGGCCAATCAGCATTGAGGAGTCCGTGGGTGCTAGGGTCAAAGGTCAATATGTGATAGTTCCTGGTACAGAGGTTGCAGGGCTCCCTGAATTACAGGCAACTCTTTCTGGAACACCACTAAAGCAGAACAGAAGAACATTCACAAACCTCTGACCTTGATTCACCAGAAACACAGACGCTGTTGTTTTTGCTGATATAACAAAATCTTATCACGCAAAGCAACCAGTTTATAGATATTCCAGTGTATTTTTGCATAAGACTTTGCCAGTATTGCTTTCTGCCTTTGACTTCTTTACCTAAACGTAAGTAAAGATGAAAATTAAAGAACTGTCTCTGAATTTAACATTTCTTTACTACACTTCATTTGACTAAAAAATCAATAATGTAGTAATGTCATGCAGTTCAGTGAATATGCCAAGAACTGCTCTGACTGATTGAGTAAGACTAAAAACTAATCAGTTCAAGACTGGGGAATCTTCGCTGTATACCTTAAATATACATCAATTCTTATTAAATCCGCTAGGGCTGTCACGATTCCTCAAATAAATTATAGTACTCGGGGAAAAAAAATCCTTGATTGCATTTTGCCCGTGTTGATTAACCGGCAAAATATCGGAAGTGGCGCATTCCATGGATGAGAATCTATGAAAAAGCGTTATTATACCGTTTTATTAGGCTGCATGAAATATTAAAATAGGGCTGTGCAAATAATCGAATGCGATTTTCATTAGCATCTCGTCAGTAAAGCCGGTTCTGTGATTAGTAGTGAATCTCCAGCACGTGCTTTCAGATGGAGCGGCATTTAATACACAGAGCCGTAGTTCACTGACAAGCTACGCAATATCGCGTTCATAATTGGCAATGAATCGCCTGTGATTATGAACGTCTCAAACTCCATCTTTGCATATGCCGTGACCATGGTATACAACTTTATAGGGCCAATTTCCAGGGCCTCTGTAACACACAGTTTGACCTACAGTCACCAAAATTCATACACGTATAGATGTCGTCAGCCCGAACAACTTTCGCATTGCATGTCATTAGCTCTGCCCAACAGGAAGTCAGCTATTCTGGTTTTTGTGAAAACGAATGCGCTGAACTATTTAATACTTCTCCTAGGCTTTTCATCTGATTGCCACCAAACTTGGTCAACATGATCTCAAAAAATTGCGAAGGGATTTTTTTGATATCTCAAAAGGTTTGGCCATGGCAAAGCGATGAATTTATGGTGAAGAAAGGAAACAGAAAGTGTGTTATAACTTGCACATACATTTGTCTGATTTTGATGAAACTTCAGCAGTGTGTTTGTTGTATGATACCGATCATGTAGATGTGACTATTAGGAGTCAAAGTTATAGTGCCACCAACTGGCAGCAGGAAGTTTGTCCCTTTTAAAATGCTTTTAAATCAGCCTCTTATTTTTACTTGATTTGCTTTAAACTTCATCTTGTTAATGTCAAAGCATGGCATAATGTAAAACTGTGAAGAAATTCTGTATATCTTAAATACTGTTGTCATGGCAACATATCAACCTTTAATGTTCTTTTCACGTGTTTTTAAGGCATTTAACATGCTTAGAATTTCATGAAACTCGACACACACATCAGTATTAATGATAGTTAGACACTGGCAAAAGCTCATTAATGGGTGTGGAGGAGGGGCTCTATAGCGCCACCTTTCAACAAAAGGGGGGGAGGGGTTCATGTTAGCTACAGTCACCAAAATCAGTACTGCTACAGTTCTCATCAAGCCGGACAACTTTCTAATTTACAGTCATTAGCAATGACCAACAGGAAGTCAGCTATTTTAGTTTGATTGTGGATTTTTGGAAAAATCAGGCTGTGATTTAATGCATACTTCTCCTAGGAGAATAATCCAATTCACACCAAACTTTGTCAACATGATGCCAAGATACTGAAGATGCAAAATTGCAAACAGATTTTGGATATCATGAACGGTATTGCCATGGTGATTTATTAAAATAACAGTAAAAAAGGAAACAGTATTTTCTTTAAAGTGCATTATCTAAACTCTTCAAAACTTTTTACGCATGGAGAACAAGTCATTCTGAGAAAACATGTTTAGATTCATAAATTTATAATGCTCAGCAGCCAACAAAAACTAAAACTATCAGACATTTCAGCTGACAGATGAAGGCTGTAATACTAAGGTTGTCTGCTAGATGGGGTCATAGGATAAGAAATCTTGTAAAGGGGTCATATGATGTGATTTAAATTTTTCCTTTCTCTTTGGAGTGTTACAAGCTCTTGGTGCATAAAGAAGATCTGTAAAGTTGCAAACACTAAAGTCTCAAAACCAAAGAGATATTCTTTATAAAAGTTAAGAGTTAACCACGCCTACCTAAAACGGCTCGTTCTAACACGCCCCCACATACCTACGTCACGATCTGGGAAGATTAAAATAATGTTCTTTTTAGCAGCATCATATGACCCCTTTAAGCCTGATCCTGTACTACAGTTTCCATTCATTAGAATGACAAACCAACAAATACAGTAAGTTAATGTGTACTGTACTGGTAATATAGTTATATATAATTATTTCACAAATGCTTATAGATTGAACATTTTTAAAAATGCTTATAGATCATTAAAAGTTTTGATAACACTTTACAATAAGGTCTCTTTTGTAAACATTAGTTAATGCTTTGACTAACATGAACTACCAATGAACAATATCTTTTTACAGCAATTCTTAATCTTTGTTAATTTTAGTTAATAAAAATGTTCATGTTTTTATTAGTTCACAATGCATTAACTAATGTTAACAGATACAGCTATACATTTTAATTAATAATGTGTTAAATTTTGAACTTAATATTAACTAAGATTAATAAATGCTATATAAATAGTTTATTTTAACTGATATAGTTAATGTCAACAACTGAAATGTATTGTAAAGTTTTACCAAAGTTTTATGTATTGTTCTGTGTGTGTTTGTATTTTTCACACTCTTGATGTTATAGTGTAACCCTTTCATTGCTGTAACCCTTTAGACCAGACTGCCAGAGGGTTACTGTAAATGCATGTGCCCGCTGTGCACTGTTTTCCTGAAGCCACTGGGGTGGCAGTTGCGCCAGTTGCTTGGGCCCATCATCACTGCTTGCAGCTATATTATTGTTTTATTACATTATGTATTTTAACTGTTTTGTTCAATAAAACCATATGATTATTTGCTTTTGATATTTTATTTGAACCAATTATTATTGCCTCATTGCTATTCTATATGTTTTTTAAGTCATTTTAAAGTCTATTGTTCGCTTAGGTCTATTTGTATTACCACAAAAATTATCCGTTTACTCGATTAATCATCAGAATAATCGATCAATTACTCAATTACCAAAATTATTGTTGGTGACAGCCCTAAAATCCACAAACATTTTTCAGTCAAGAGCAGTGAGTGGTTTTTCGTTTTCTTTTATTGTTTGATTAACATTAAGGACACAGCCAGCAGCAGGTATATTAGGCTGGTGTCACTGTAAGACCGAATGCATGGATTTAATATACTGATACACATCTGATTTTCTGTAAATGTTCACTTAAGGCATAATTGACTGGTATTCTTCAAAAAAATGGATGTTTGAAAGCCATTAGCAGAAGTCCATTTGAAGTCAATAAATCATTTGATTATAGTAATTGTTTAAAAAAACTGATCAGGTTTTGAAAAATGATTTTACTCAACCCTCTGCATGACCATCGCAGACCTTCTTGTTAAGTTCTGGCAATTTGTGATTTTCCCTAAATTCGTTTTTCTTGTTCCCCTCCTAAAGGTTACAGGACTTAGATCTGTAGTTCTGTTCATTCAGATAAAACCATCCAACTTCAGTGAGCTCTGTTTTTTTTCTGTCTTGATTGTTTAGACAAGCCAGAGTATTTAGCTATTGTTGCTGGAAGAGTCTTTAAACCATAGAACTTCAGAGCTTTAGAGCTCATGAATAGACCCAGAGGAATCTTGCCAATAGCTGTAACTACTGCTTCAAAGGCTTTTTGTGGGAGACGAAACAGGGTGGGACTCTGGTCTGGTAGCTTGCTTGGGAAAGTTCTGTTACATGGTAAGTAGACAACAAGGCCAGGAACAGAGAAGCTCTTTCTCTAACCATGCTTCATCCTTCCTGTCTTTAGGGTGGGCCAGAGGGGGACAGGCCTGTCTGCCACCATCGCAAGAAGTGAACACGAGATATCCGAGATCATTGACGGCCTCTCAGAGCAGGAGGTAAACCACTGGTTAATATATCTGAAATCTGACCCATTCAGAAAAAGCTTTACCCCAAGTACAGAAAGTGTATTAGCTAGAGTTTTAGAGCTTCTGGAGGGTAGCAGTTAAACATACGCCCTGGGTTTCTCCCATACATCAGACTTTATTATTTCCCGTGAGCCATTACAGTCATGTTATTATCACATTGCCAGATTATGCAGCATTAAATCTTGCGTTCTTTGCAGCCACCCACTTAAAGGGGTCATGAACTCCATTTTTTAATGATTTCATAATGTTCTCTGAGGTTCACTTATGTTAATGTGATTTTACATAAAAAACAATTTAGAAGTAATAGGCTATTTTCTGTCCTGTTTTTGAGACTCTCTGCAGAACGGACTGTTTCTGTAGATGGAACTCATTCAAGACTCACAAGTAAACGGCCACTGCTATGATTGGCTAACAGTTTCACTGATTAAAATAACAGATGGACGCTGCTGTGACGTACTCTGAACACAACATGGGTCATTTGGGTCATCATTGTTTACTTTCAGTCTCTCTGAAAAGCCTGCATCATATTGTCTTGTTTAAAATAAATCCATAGTAAAGCAAACAAACAGTGTTTCATTGACATGATCTGGAGCTCTTTGCTAATTTTACCTTGTATTTACACTGGATACGAGCGGTGCAACGCAACTATAGACAACAGAGCCCATTTTAATCTACGATTTTGTCTACGCTGGATGCGGCACGGATTGACACAACAAATCCCCGACAGTAAACTGCTGTCCCGCTCTATTTCAGACATACAAGCATTCGCGCCGGTTCTGAGCTGAAAGAGAAATTGATTCGCGACATGACGCAACAGCGCTCACGTCTGATCTAGATATGTTAGCATCACAAGGAAGGCAATTCAAAGACTATTTTTCACAAATTACACTACACAGTGTCTTTTAATCTAGTAATGTCATCTGAATGGTTCTGTTGGAGTAATCCTGTGTTTGCGTCTTTGTAGTATTTCCTCCTACTACTACAAGCGTGTATCAGTGGGCGTGGCTAAAGAGTGATGTAGAAGCAGGCGTTGATCTTCTCCTGCGGAAGCGGTGCTTAGCCACACTATTGCGTCATAAAGTGGCATATTCCAAAACGAGTCATTTTCTGAGCTTGGTTTCAATAAAAGCTGTTTTTAAACTAGTGAGAAAGTTTTGAGATTTGAAACTTACAGGATGTTTTTGTAGTACATTGACCTGTTATATGTCAAAAGATCAAGGGAGATTTGATTTCTCAGTTCATGACCCCTTTAAGAACCACCCACTTAGACAGGACAGAGGGAATGAGGGGAAAGAGACCAACCACAGTTTATTTTGTTTTATGTATTGATTAAGGGCAGGCTTACCTGAAAGAGACACTTTAAAAAAAAAACACTCATTCAAACATTTCGCTCATTCAAACATTCAAACAAAAATTAGCAGTAATGCATGTAGATTTGTGATTATAATTGATATTAGTCTAAAAATAAGTACTGACTATTTTACAGACAATAAATCAAAACAGCGTATACAGTTCTGATCGAGGATATTTAGTTTACTATCATTACTGCATTTTCCTATTTTCTAGCTTGCTTCCTAACCTAGCAATTCTAATTTACAAATATTGTTGGCTATTTGACAAATTGCTTTTGCTCCCCTTTTGTAAGTCACTTTACATAAAAGCGCCTGCTAAATGCATAAATGTAAATGTAAAACTATCAAAGATTTTATGCCATTTACTTGGCAAATCCTGTGAATAAGTGCAATTTTGTTTCCTGGGGGATTGGTAAAAACTGTTAATCTAAAATTAATTTAGAATCCGGAAGTTGTGTTGCAGTCGGGTAATCTGATTGGACCTTGTGATTATTCGCAAGTCGCAAGTTTTGTGTGCAGCATGCATCAGAAGTAAATGGACTGTGGGCGGCCTGTGGGTGTGCCGTCGGAGGCTGAGACTAGAGTAATGTAAACAAGCACTGCAGAACCATCCTGGACACCTTTTTGTCTCTCTCAGAACAATGAGAAACAGATGAGGCAGTTGTCTGTCATTCCTTCCATGATGTACGATACATTTTTTTTTTTTCTTCACTTACGCACTTTTCTCTCACTCTAAGCATAGATTTGACAATAAGCTCTGTTGCACATTTTGACAAATATAGTGTGATCCAGAAAATTTGTGCATACTATACATATATACTGCAGGAATAGTAAGAGTTGTGTGGTAGTATGCTATTTTGAATATAGCAGCACAACTGCATTCAACATAGATAATAATAAGAAATGTTTCTTGAGCACAAAATTAGACTGAAGTAATGGCTGCTGAAAATTCAACGTTGCCATCATAAGAATAATAAAGCTTTAAAATATATTAAAAGAAAAAAAACAGTTCTTTAAAATTCTAATATTTCACAGTTTTACTGTTTTTACTGTATTTTTGATATAATAAATGCAGCCTTAGTGTGAGCACAAGACTTCTTTAAAAAGCGTTTAAGTCTCTTATGACCGCAAACTTTTGATCAGTATTGTATTAAGTATGCACTAAATAACGTGACAATACTGAATGCAGATGTTTGTCAATATTAGCGGTTACAAACAATCATTTGTAACTTACATGTGTTGAGTATTGCAGATTTGATGCTCACTTCACAACAGGTGTGTTCCGATCAGTGAATGACATAAAAGAACCGCAAGAACGATTAGAGAGAAGATGGCTCCATAAGCTTTCTATTCACTCTTGTGGTACCTTGATGTCATACACCGATCTGTCTGTGCAGCACTGCTTCAAGTCAAACACACCTATTGGCATTCACTGCAAGGCAGCATTTTGAGTAGGGCTGCATGATACATCGTTTCAGCATCGATATCGCGATGTGCGCATCCGCGATAGTCACATCGTAGGATGTGCGATGTTTAGTATATGCTACTGATCGTTATATTTATACTGATTGTTTTCTTTGCTCACACACAGACACTGTGTCTACACCGGATGCGACAGCTGTACAGAGATACCCATTTGAAATACATTTAGGAGCAGAGCTACTGCACGCGATTTTCAGTGCTGGAAATCCACCTGTCCTTTGTTGAAACTTCCGCGTCGTCGTGGAGAGCGCAGGTCACGGTTGCTTAGCAATGGCAGACGCCATGAAAGCACAAGCTCCCGAGCGCTTTGGAAAGAAGGAGAAAGCGATGCGACTGGCGTTTTCCCACGTGTTTTTAGGCGCGACATGTGAACGGCCCCAAAGTCTGTCTACACTGGACGCGACCGTTGTATATAATTTGAACTTTGTGTCAGTACGTCATAAAGAGAATGCGGCATCAGTTTACTGTCAGGGATTTGTCATGCCTCGCTGCATCCAGTGTAGACAGCATAATGATTATAATGGGTTCATTGTATTTTGTCGCGTCACGCCGCACCGCTCGCGTCTGGTGTAGACACGGTGAGAGCCACGCAGATGCACGTGAACACTGAATACTGTTCACTTCTGCGTCTATTTGTGCCTGAAATACTGTGCTCTCCAAGTATCCTTGTAATCGCAGTTTCTTATGACTTAGGTGAAGGGAAACAATTGAGAAAGAAAATGGATGTGTAACAGTATATTGGTTTATAGCGGTTTAATGTTCCTGAGGCTTTCTGTGTTATGAATGTTAATCAAACATCAAAACAAAGAAAAATCACATTTGTAGCTTTAACAGATTTATTAGATTTAATTTATACAGTGAAGACTATGCAGTGTTATTTTACATTTGATTAAAGCACTGTTTATTTCATTTGTATCTTTGTTCTGTTATGTTTATCTATGCTTGTAATTTGTTTATTTCCTATGCTGATTTACTCGCCTACAAAATCACCCCAATCATAATTCTTTTCCCCAAATAAACTATTCAAGTAATGTGGTGATTTTTTTTTTTTTTCATATCGCGCAATATATATTGCAAAAAAAATAAAATATCGCAATGTGAGTTGTGAGTTTTATCGTGCAGCCCCAATTTTGAGTAGTTTGCTTTTTCCTCCCGGAAGTTTTCATGAGAAAAGAGAAAATATAATGCAAAATTGCAAGCTGTTGTGTGGGTGGGGAATTGTTGAATTTGAATTTGCATTCATTCTTTCATTCATTCTTGCAAACAAGCAGAAGGACTGTTTTGAGATACAGTTTTAGTACTCAAGAAGCCCCCTAGTGTTCAGTATGCGCTGTTACAACATCTGCATTTCAGTCTGAAAAAGCCTGCATGCTTTTAAATATACGTGCTTTGAATGTTTGTTTTTTGTTGTTGTTTTTTCTGAGAGGGGATGTGTTTGAATCATGCTTAACATGCTTAATTGCATTTTCTTTTTTTATAAGAAGGGGTGTTTGTGGTTGTTTTTGTGCGCTGTTGACGATGTGTTATAAGAACTCTGACCGTGTGTGTCTGCGCGCCGTTTATCAGGCAAAAATGCATCTGTGCTTTGAGTCTCTCTCACTTGCTCTCTCTAATTTATGGAGGGCTGCAGAGCTTTCCAGGAATCTGTTTTATCCATTTGGCACAGCTGAGAGGCTACATGCTGCTGTCAGGGACCACAGAGGGAAAAGAGGAGAACATGAGAGTTTCAAACTCCAACTTGAAATCTGTTTGAGCACAGTATCTGAGGCTTCTTACTTTCACATATGTATACTTACTCAAACACAGTGTTTTAGAAGGGTGAAATCTGGCCATGGCACCCAAACCAGGTGGTTATCTGATTGTTACATGGACAGATGATTTCAAATAAACATGAAATTTAATTTACCCCATTTACTTCATTAAGTATTCAAGGTCTTATCGTGTCTGACCAGTTTATCATCAATGCAGGTTATTTTAATAATATTTGTATCAATCTTTCATCAAAATCACTTTTTTTTTTCTTTCTGAATGTCAACTAGGCAGAGCAGGCTATTGGTTAATGTTAACCAAATTTACCCAAGCTATTTAGGTGTTGTTTTAAGCTACTGTTCTATGCAAAAATAACAGCTCTTAAAA